GTGGGTTTGATGAGTCATGCTTGTGCAGTTGATGAGGAAATTAGTCTTATGCTCCAAAGGATACAATACGGTAGTTAAACCAACACTTTAACCCAGAAGGCCAAGCTGGGGAAACGGGGAGCAGGCCTGAGACCAATCCCAAGGAGCTCAGAGGCGCGGCTGCCAGCCACGTAGCTCCAGGGTACTGCCTAGGAGTTTGTGCCAGAAGACTCTGCTGGTCGTGGTCATGTGGCACAGATCTTTGTACCAAGGGTCACACCCAAATATCTGCTGTCTCAGTTCTGCATTCTAAGAACCTGGAGATACCCAGTGCAGAGGACACTGTTGGTGCCCACTGCATCCTTTTGTGGTTCTGGGAGTCCATCTCCAGCTCCTGTGACTTTGTTCCTACTAGAGACAGCTATTGGTGCCCCTGATCCAGGGTGCCAAAGGCCCCAGGGCCAGGGATGGCTGGGAGAGGGGCACAGGCTCAGTCTCCACATAGAACAGCTCTCAGGGGCCATTTCCACTCCAGAACTCTCCCAGGTGTCACCTGAAATCACTTCTTTTGTTTTTTGAACAGATGTCACTATGCAGTTTAGACTGGTCTTAAACTCACTTTGTAGCTCAGGCTGGTCTCAAACTCACAAGGATCCTCCTGCCTCACCCTCGAGTGTTGGGATTTACAGGCATGCGGCACTACGCCAGGTCATACCTTTCTTTAGCTTCTTCCCATTCCTTGTTTTGCCCCCCTAATTCCCTTGTGATTTCTCCTGGGAGCACTTTCTAAAACACATCACTGCAGAGCTTATCTTAGGCTCAGCTTTTGGAAAACCTCATTATAAAAGAATCATTTTATTGTGGCCATCAGTCTTGCCCTTGGGTGGGGGCCACGTAACAGCCAGCCACTGAGAATGTGGGGAATTCCAGATCCTTCTTGATAAGCTTGACCTTGTGCTCTAAACAGTAGCAGCTTCCGGCCCAAGAAGGGGCCCACACGTGGTCTGCACTGACTGAGCCTAGAAGACGCGAAGAACATCACACCACAGCCCCGTGACTTCCCCTTGGACCATTTATTCGATTGCTCTATAGTCAGGCTCTTCCCCAAACACCTTTCGATCTCCATCATAGCCTCTTTTCCAGAAATCAGTAACGGCCCAGCTCTTGCCATCTTCGTGCCCACCCTCCTGCCCGCTTGCATAAAGTATTTCAAAATCAAGACCAAAACAGGAACTTTGCTGGGTTTTGTAACCCGGAAGCATGTTCTAGGCCTACATTTATAGATAAGGTCGGGGAAGAGCAGGGCGTTCATGGGGTGCATCCACACGGAGGGTGGTCACAGTGGGGAGCAAGAGGAGGGGGCGTGGCCTCAGTCCTGGGGCTCCAGCAACTGGAGCCAGATGACTGACTTGTGACAGGAAGGGCATCAGGAGCCCCAGCATGGCACACTGCCTCCTTGTGGGAGGTGCTCACCTCCCCCTAATGTAGACTAGATAAAAATAAAAGCAAGTCCCCAAACCCGCAGTAAGCAAATACACACAAGAGACACACCCTAAGGCAGGAGCCACTGTCCCCAGAGACGGGGACAACAGCTCCTGAGGCACTGGGGTCTGGTCTGACAGGTGGCTCTGTCCCACCTGGATGGGAAGGACACCTGTTTCATCATGACAGTGACTCACAGGAAGTTTTGTGCCCTGAGCGTTTCCTACATCTAGAGAGCTGGAATCTCCGAATCAGGCATCACTCTCAGGGCGGAGGCTGGCCTCTTCCAGTGGCTGTGCATATGGGGGCTGCCTGGTTCCAGGCCTGCTTTGCTACCAAACACTGTTCTCAGACCCACCAAGGCCTATCGCTCAGTAATCGTGCAGCAAATGTTCAATGGCTGTTGAATGAAAGAATCCTTAATGAAATCCTGTTCCCCCGAGAGTACATATCTGTGACCTTTCCACTGGTTAGACAATGGTTCTTTTTGAGCCGGCAAAATGCAATCACCATTTTCCTACTCTCCTGGCTCTAAAGGAACTTCTCTCTTTTTAGTGGAAGCTAATTCTTTTCAAGGGGAGCCAGCGGATGCACGCGGCTAGGTCCAAATGAGAGGGTCTTGGCAAATGGACGAGTGACTTTTAACAGGATGATCAACACGTCTTGGGGGCTGGAAGTGGCTGCTGGGGCTGGGGAAGCTCTGAATCTGGCTGGTGGTGAAGGGGCCCTTGTTTAGCTGCCTGGAGACATAGGATCAAGTTCTCCTGGAAGGGCAGATGTTGGGGCGTGGGAGGAAAGAGGAGAATCAAGGACCAGGGGGTAAATGAGGACTAGGTAGGAGGAGATGGACAGAGCAGACCGGACAGCTCTACAGCTGAACTGAGGCACACGCACGGATGCTGATCTGGAGAGAGCCCTGCCGGCCTCCGGGGGAGACACCTGCTCTGAGGAGATCCGATTCCAGGGAAGATTCGAAACTAGGTTATTGGACCCGCAGGGGGTGGGCAGAGCTCACCTAGGGTGTCTACGCTGCAGAGAGAAAGTCAAGAGGGTTGGGAGATGGTCAGGAATGAATAGTTGGAGGCGGCAGTGAATTTGAAATGACAGTGCAGTCAAGGTATGCCTGGGGCTCCAGGGTCCCTTTCCATGAGACCAACCTTGCACTGTAGGGTCTGGCTACTGGAAAGTCCAGGGATCCCTCTTCCGGATTTCCTTCTCCTCCCCCACACCATTCCAGTTTGGAATAGAGACTAGGGATTCATGGGGAGTGCTTTGGATATGCGAGTTGAGTTTTGCTTTGTTTCTGTGTCAGGGCTCTGCAGATGCTGGCCTGGCCGCTGGCCACCCACGCACCCAGCTGTTTCCAGGAGGGTCACAGCTGAGGCTCACTGGTGGCGACACAGGTCCTTCCCAGGGAGAGCAAGGCACAGTGTCCCCAAATGCCACCCCACTCCCCGCCAGTCTCCCAGCAGGGCCACCCAGTCCAGCTCAGGCAGGGGAAGGGCCTGGAGAACTCAAGGACGGAGGGAAGCACGGGCCCCTGCGGCTCAGGGCACCATGTGCCACCACTTGAAGGAGAAGGGCTTCCTGCGCACGTTGGTGCCGCAGTGCACCTCCCCGAGGAACTTGTGGTAGGCGGAGATGTCATCGACGAAGGTGCAGCAGAGGCCCAGCGGCTCCAGCAGGCCGCGCACGTGCGTCTCCAGGCAGCATTCCTCTTCCACCTGCGGCCCGAAGGGCTTGGGGATGCCCAGGTCCTTGTCCAGCACAATCATGTTCACCTGGGGTAGGAGCAGTTGCTCCGTAAGCACACCCTGTGCACCCGCCCCATTCTCAGCTCCTGCAGCCCTCACTAAAGTCCTACGAAGGAGAAACTGGGCTAATCCTCTTTATAGTGTGGGGAAACTGAGGCACAGGGCAGGCTGGCAGCACTGACTGGAAAACCAGGCAACCTGCCTTGGTACATATGTATATGTGTGCAGAAAGCATAGAAAAATGTACTACATGCATGTATGTGTGGCTGCCTACACAGGCATCCGTGTACACGTACGTGTGTGTATGAATATGCACACGTGCATGCACGTGTGTGTGTGCTGATCCGATCTCCTATCTTTTTATCTTTTGCAAAGCAGCTTCATATTTGTTAAGGAACTGACTTCTCAGTATTCCAGGGAGACAGCTGGGACAAGCATGGCACTCCAGGGAAGGAGCCGTGGCATTTAGAGAAGGCAGGTGCCTGGGATGACATCACCCAGCAGCTCAGCCTGGCCTGGGGCCCCTCCCAGATCTGACTTCCCCAACTCAGAGTGGACGAGGGCTGGATCCGGAGTCTCACCATGTTCGGGAAGAAGGCTCTAGCCTGGTGGCCCTCATCCATCTTGAAGAGAGCAGGCAGATCGACGATGTCCTGCTCCGCCAGCCCCAGCTCCCTCTTGAGGATGTCGCGGTTCCAGTCAAGGCAGCGCTGGGTGGGGGCAGACATGGACGTCAGGGAAGAGACACACAACTGCCACCTTGGCTGCAGTGTCAGCCAATGAGCCCTGGCACTCCAGGGAGGTGTGCAGCTCTCAGCTGGCACCTGCTCACCTCTCCTAGTGCCCCTCCTTGGGACTTGGGGACAGTCATAATGATGATGACAAACTCAGAAGCAACACCAGCCACTACCACCCATTGGGCACCTCTGGGGGCCAGACTCTGTGCCGGGAGCTTCTCTCCAGGACCTCACTGGCCCCTAAGGCCACCCCAGGACACTGGCAATGGCTCTCCTGATGATCACAGCAGCAAATGCATAAGCGTGCCTCGCTCTGTCCTGAGCACCAGATTGGTGACCTTCACTGGGTCTCACATCGCCCACCTCTTCCTGCAGGGCAGCAGGTTTGTGGGCTGTTGGCCCAGTCAGTAGTCTGCTGCCTCTACCTCTCTGCTCCTTCAAGTTAGGGATGGGCAGTAACTCAGGATTAAGCAATCAATGCACAGATGCCTCGGCTACAGTAATTGGTTCAAGTTGGGTCAAATCAAGGGTGAAATGCTAGCTCTTGTCTAATTGTGGTGGGGTATAAAAAAAAGCTGTTTTGTTCATGACGTGCTGGGTATATGTCAGGTCCTGAACTATCTGCAGCCATTAGGGGACCTTCAGAGACCAGGAATTGCAGAGAAATGGAGATGGAACCCTGAACAACCTGGGCCTGAGATCCACGCCACTGCTGGACTTACACGAATCAATCACATCTTTTTTTTTTTTTTTTTTTTTTTTTGCGGAACCGGGAATTGAATTCAGGCCCTTGCACTTGCCAGGCAAGCACTTATTCTACTGAGCTATCTCCCCAGCCCATATCTTTTTGTTTAAACCATTTTTTAAAAATGTATTTAGTACACAGTCTACAGGGTCTCCCCACACAGATCAGACTCATAGTGATCCTTCCTGTTTTCAGCCTCCTAAGCGTTGGGATTACAGGCACACACCACCATGCCCCGTCTCAATCACTGTCTCAGTGTACCCCGGGTACCTGCACTTTGAGTAAGCAGGCACTTGAGTCACTCTGAGCTATCTGGCCAGCTCTTGTTTAAACCAATTTGACTTGTTTTCTGCTTCTTAATTTTTAAAATGTGCCCATGCAAATAAAGAGAGGCTTCATTCAAATAAATGACTGGTTCCTTTTTTTTTGAGACACGGTCTTGCTATATAGTTTGCGTCTAGCGTTGGGTTCACTTTTTTTTTTTTTTAAAACATTTATTTAGTGTGTGTGTGTGTGTGTGTGTGTGTGTGGCCAGCTCAGCCCACCAGGGGGCGGGGCTGGCTGGCATGTGGTGCTGGGGGATTGAACCGCGGTCCCTGTGCTTTGTCAAGCTTGTTCCAAGTAGGTGCTTTAGACCACTGAGCCATCTCGCCAGCCCCGCGTTGGGTTCACTTTTGTAGCTCCCAGGCTGGTCTCAAACTCACGGCAATCCTCCCGTGTCAACCTCCAGAATGCTGGGATTACGGGCATGCAGCACCATGCCCAGTTCTGGGGCCGGTGCAGCATGCAGGGACAGGGATCGAACTTGGGACCTTGTGCTTTGACAAGTAGCTGTTTATGCCTCTGACCTATCTCCCCAGCCCCTCTATTTTTGGATATAATCTTGGACTTAAGAACTCCTAGTGGGAGTGGACTGAAAACGTCAGTATCTGTGATTTCCTAACACTCAGAGGTTGGGCCTTGTGCTTATCCAAACATTTTTCTGGAAAGCGGGTCTGAAGTGCTCGTCCTGTTCTGATGAGTGTGTTCCCAGGTGACACTCGCTCCCACCTGGCAGAGGTCTTGGTCCTTTGGCACTGCTGGTGCCCCTATCGGCCTAGAGCTTCCAGCCCTGCTAAAGGGACTTCGATGCCCTTTATGTTCACTTTTAGTGCAGAACTACAGCAAGGAGGCTGCTCGCAGGCTTGTCAAGGCCCTCGGGCTGCGGGCACGCTCTGGATCCTGAGCCCGTGACTGGGAGCCCCCCGAGCCTGCGCACCCTCCACGGAGGCCCCAGGACACGAGGAGGACGTGAGCCTGGCCCCTTCCGGGCGCTCACCTGGAAGTAGTGGTTCTCCTTCACGAGGCTCTCGTTGGACAGGATCTTGTTGATAGTGATTCGCTTGCTGCTCATTCCCCCCAGGCCTGCGGGGTCAGAGGACAGGATGGTCAGATCCAAGATGACTGGCCAGGGCTTATCTGAGAGGGCTTGGAGAGGGACAACAGGGAGAAGCCAGGCGAGGCCCAGGAGGCCTCTTTCTGCCTGTAGAGGGCCACATACACTGCTTTCTCCTGCATGGGACCTGTCACCTGGGAGGAGAAAGGGGCGGTGGCTGCCTTGCTCCCTATCTGGGCAGTGGGTGGGGGTGGCATAAATGGCCACCTGGTTCTCCCATCTGGCACCTGCTCCCGAGAACAGCAGCTGACCAGGACGAGTGTAAGAGAAGCCGCATCGACTTTCCTGTTGTCCAGGCCCGCCCCTCGCTCAGGCCCTGCCTGGAGGGAGCCTGTCGGCCTCCGCCCTCCTGACTCCTGTGGCTTTCGTGGACCAGCGACACCTATGGCTCGTGGATCAGCTGCTGCATGGCAGGCTCCATGCTGATGGGCTCGTTCGTCCTCCCTACATTTCCAGGCCAGGTGAGGAAACGGAGGCACAGAGTGGCTACGTGGCTTGTCCTCGGGCTCACAAGAGCTCATGGCTGCGCTGGTGGGCACAATGGAGGCTCCTCTCCTGTACTTTTGCCTGATCTGGGAGAGGCCTGCTGGACCCTCGCACTCCTTAGGCTGGTCAGTGGCAAAGAGATCAGGGCTGGGTCAGGGACGCAGCTCAGTGGCTGTGCCTTGGCTTGATGTGTCCAAGGACCTGGGCTACTGCAGAGAAAAAGGCGCAGAAAAGCGGAACAGGCCTGTTAGAACCTTATTCAAGCTGTCTCCACAGTTCTTGCCCTTGTTAGCCCAAAGGCAATCGTGGTTCCTGCAGCCCACGGGTAACTTTTAGGCTAAGTTTAACAGAGAGAGAAGCTTCCAAAGGTCAGGCCTCCCTCATATCTGCTCATCTAGGAAGAAACCTCCCCTCGGGGGTGGGGGCATCATGGACAATGTCTTAGTCTGGTCCTTTCTGTCCTCATGGCTGCCAGCTGCCAGGAACACTGTCTTTGGATGTGGAGGACAGAAGTATCAGTGGTGGTCAGCCTCCCGGACACAGGCTTGCGGTGCAAGGCATGCTGGGAATGCGTACCTGAAAAGTGGCAAAATGCAACTGAGGAAGAACTGTCTTGTTGATAGAAACAGAGGAGACGGCTCTTCACCACCGCACGTGTGTTCTGCTCCCTGTATCGTGTACTCATCTAAGTGATAGCAGGGCGATGTAATTTCATCACAATAACAGCAACCATAAAGCAGTAGGAGTTGCCATGGCCTCTCACCAGGCTGGCTGTCTCCGCCTGATCACTTTCCTCCTTTTCCATGATTTATTTAAGTGCGCGCCTTGGCCCTGTCCACGCCGCCCCAGTTAGGCCGGCGTCTACACTAGGCCGGTCATTTCTCACTCTGGGGCCGACGGTGATGATGCCTGACTGTCATCCTGGCTGCCACGGCCCGCTGTTCTTCCTGGCCCTAGACGATGTTGGTCTGTGTTCTTCTCCAACTACCTTGGTGAAATGCGAGCTCTGGGGTGCCGACTGTGCAAAAGTTTTGGAACCTCTTAACTCTCCCGCGGGCCTGGCACACATCTGAGAAAATACTTTGTGCGTTAGTGACAGAAAGTATGAGGGCATAGGCCAGCGAGCCGCTTGGCTACAGCAAGGGACACGGAGGCCCGGGCTGCTCCCGCTGGGGTGGCCTTGGACATCCTCCGTGGGCTGGGCATCTGGGGCAGCGTGGCTGGGTGCTCACTCACCTCGTGCTGCTGAGGGCATCCTGGGGACTCCCCGCCGAGGCCCGTGGCCACTCACCTTTGAACATGATGGCTTCGCCGTGGCCTTCCTTTTGCTTCTCTCTGAAGAGCTTGTAGCAGGCGGAGGTGCTGGCCATGAGCAAACGGAATTCCTGCGAGAGGCAGCCAGACAGCACCCTGACAAAGGGGAAGGCTGCCGGGAAGCAGGAAGGGTCCCTGTCCTGCCTGTCTCCAAGGGCTCTGTCTCACCCTTCTGCCGTGACATCATGCCACGGGGTCAAAGCTCAGAGTCAAAGACAGGATGGAAGAGTTTCCTTGAGCAGCTGTGAGGAAGGCCATTTGCACAGGATTTCTGGGGCTTGGGGTGGTAGCCACTCCCTTTCAGATAATGAAGCTGCAGACCCAACCTATCTTTGCAGAGCCTTACAACCAATATGGCAGCCACTGGCATCGTGTGACGGCCAAATGCTTAACTATGCCTAGTCTGAGTACAGACATGCTAGAAGAACAATATAGTCACCAGATTATAAAGACTTAGTATGAAAGCAGAATGAAAAGCTTTGAATTAGTGCTTTTTATATCAATTGCACATTGAAATGTTGATAGTTTGGGTTCACTGGGTTAAAATTTACTGGTGACAACCACAACATACAAACCAGTTTCATCCTACTTCCTTCTTCCTCTGTGCTGCTATTTATTTGAAATCCTTCTTTCTGTTCTCAAAGGTAGGCAGCTGTGGGTTCTCTGCTCCCTATTCACTCCAGTCCTAGGGACAAGCTCACCTTTTTGCCTGGGATGGGGACGAAGGTCATGAACTCATCCACGTGACCCACGGTCAGCCAGTCCGAGTAGAGCTCCACAGGTGCCTGCACCCGCTGGGCCACCAGGAAGTCATGTACCACCTTGGTCATCCGCCGCCCGCCAGACCTGGGGCAAGGTTGTGGAGGGAGTGGCTCTTCAGAGGGTTGCCCCCTCTGCCTGCTGCAGAGAGCCTGCCACCGGGCCAGCGTGGCATCAGCCTGCACAGGCTTCCAGGTCTGTCCCGGCCCTTTACCAAAGAGCCACAGTAACTTCGGCTCATTTTAATCAAGAGACACCTCCTCCGGGAAGCCTTCCTGACCGCCAGGTCACGAGGCCTTCAGTCTCCTCAGTGTCCTTAGACTGCCGCCCTAGTTCCTTTCGATGGCCAACAGCGCTTGCCTGTGCCCTGGCTCCTGCCTGGCCCTGCCACCCCACGTGCCCCCCTTCTTCCCGGTTCAGTGCTCTAGCCTGCTGCTGAGCTGCTCACGGTTGCCCTGGCCATTCCTGCTGTGTGGAAGGCTTCTTTCTTCTCCACGACCTCCATGGCTCAATCCTGAAGTCACCGCTGCAAACCCAGCGAAGCTGAAGTCCCCATGCTGGCCCTTTATATGCTCCTTGCCTTGTCTTCCTTACTCTCGGCAGCACCTGAGCTCCCCTACGCGGCACCTGAGCTCCCCTACGCGGCACCTGAGCTCCCCTACGCGGCACCTGAGCTCCCCTATGCGGCACCTGAGCTCCCCTATGCGGCACCTGAGCTCCCCTATGCGGCACCTGAGCTCCCCTATGTGGCTCCATCCATTCTCCACAGCCCCTACCCAGTGAGAGCCCCGCGGGCTGGAGCTCTGTGATCTGCTCATTGCTGTGTTCCCAGACCCCAGGACAGCCTGGCACAGTCAGTCTGCAAAAAGTCTTTGTCTCTAAGACCCTCCTGAGCTCCCTCCTTGGGGCTCCCACTCCCCGCTCTTCTTCCTGTTATTCTATGCCCCTCTCTTTCCTTAGGGCCAATCTGCCTATCTGCGATCCCCACTGTCCCCCTGAAGTCCGGGGGAGGGTTGGGTGCTTCATTGGTGCTCAGAAAACAGTAATCTCCTTCCATAGCCTCCCATTTGAGGAAGAGACTTGTTTCTTAGGGTATCCATTAGATCCTAATTTATACTAAGATGTAAAGGCTAACTTGTTTTTTTTTTTTTCTCCCCCAAGAGCATCTACAGTAACCAAGAGTCATGACAGGAGGGATCCTCCCGGGGAATCACTTCATGTGCAAGAAACCCAGGTGGCCCCTCAAGGGGAACAATCCCAGCCCTCTCCCACTGCCCAGCTCCACCGTGGCTTCTCTTACAGAGGGAAGCTGCTCCCAATGAGGATCCGCCCGAGGGGGTACGTCTTGCCGTTCACGGTCACTGGGGGGCTGACCTCCAAGTTCCCAAAGGAATCAAGGCTGGTGACGGATTCAAAGAGAGGCTCCCGGGTGACGTAGCCAAAATCTGGGCCCTGGGCGGAGGCACACGCCTGTCGTTAGTGTCTTGCAGCCAGGAGTCCTCAGCCCCAGGCAGCCACGCAGACGCCCACCCCTTCACCACCAGCACCTGGTGCTGTGGGGGCCTGGTTGCCCATGGCTGTGTCATTTTTTTTTTCTTTTCTTTTTAAAAATTATTTATTTTATTTGTGTGTGTGTATGTGTGTGTGTGTGTGTGTGTGGCCAGCTCAGCCCACCAGGGGGCGGGCTGGCTGGCGTGTGGTGCTGGGGGATTGAACTGCGGTCCCTGTGCTCTGCTAAGCTTGTTCTAAGTAGGTGCTTTAGACCACTGAGCCATCTCACCAGTCCCAGCTGTGTCATTTTGACAGGGGTTCAGGCATGGTGAGGAGAGTTTGTGAGCATGCCAGTGGGGTGAGTGTGTGAATGTGTGTGGGCGCACCACATGTGCATCCGGGGTGTGCCTCTTTTCCCAAACTCAGATGCACAGAGCCGACTTAAGATCATGTGCACCTATTGTCCCTGTTCAGCTCTCAATCTCTCGGAGCCTCAGTGTCCCTATCTGTGAAAGAGGTGTTGCCCTAGGCGACCTGAGGCAGGGATTATCATTGCCAGGGATTTGGCTTCCTGGTCATCACCCATGATGTCTGATACATCCTGGCCAAAGCAATGGCCTTCTCTTGCCAGCATCGGGGTCACATGACTTGCTTTGACCAATGAGGCGTGAGCAGAAGAGAGGCGTGTCAGCAGTTCTGAGCAGAAGCTCACTGACAACCCAACCCCCCCCCATGCTTTGTCTTTTTCTTCTTGTTCTAGGAGAATGGCTTTTCTCAGCCTGGGGCTGCACCTCTGGAGCAAGGAAAGTGTGACAAAGCAGGTGGCAGGCAGCAAAGAGGCCACACAGCGAGAAGCAGATTGCAAGAAGTGGCTGGTGCCAGCCTCTGAGATTTGGGGCTTGTCACTGCAGCTTTCCTTAGTGACGGCTGACTGATACATGCAGGAACTGCGGATATACACAACACCCAGCTCAACCCAAGCCACCACACTTGTCCTGTGACCCTTGAATCTTCTTAGCAGAGGACTCCAACAAACTGGAGTTGGCACACAAAACATAACTCTGCCGATGCTCTAAATTTTAAAGTTCCTTTCATGATTTTTTTCTTTTATTTTGGTTGGGGAACTCACACTAGGGTTGTGCTTAGGGCTGCATGACAAAAATCTGTTAGAAAAACTCAGGAAGCAGGAGGATGCGGCTTGTCTTAGACCAACTGAGCGGCTCCAGGGAAAGCCGTGCTGGTGCATGGGTGGCTGCAGCTTAGCGCTTTCTCGCCGGGAGGCCCAGCCACCCTCGATCGTGAGCTGGCCCCAGATGGCTGGAGACCCAGCAGCTGGGGCTTCAGAGCGTCACCCAGGCAGCTAGCAAGCAGCACAATGCCAGGCCTGGCCCAGGGCTCCAGGAACAATGTAGCCCGGGGCTTAGCAATGAGGCCAGCCTGGAATGCTGAAGGCAGGTGGAGAGAGAGAGCAGGCCTGGAGCTCAGTTCTCAGCTGG